GTCTATACTATGTATCACATGTGTTTATAAGATAAAAAAGAAAAGGTTTTTTATTCAAACCTCGGATGTAGTCGGTCGGTTGTATACCCTCTGGTCAAGTTCCACTGATGCATTCAAAGTGACTCTATAATTGTCGAGTGGTCCTAATTCCGCAAGGTTTCGAAATGTGCTCACGTATGGATTCGTAGCAAGAACACGTGTCAAAATRTCAATGATACTTCTATCAAGATTGGGCCATTGGAGTCTATGTGAAAACTCAGACTCAGCATCATAAAAATATAACTGTAAATACCTAGGTCGTCCATCCCTTGGAACTAACTGATCAATTTTATGATATACTCCTCCATGTGCACGAAAAGTATATACACCAAATGTCATATTATTCATTGTCTCATCCAAAGTTACACCCATCGATGTGAAAGAAAAGTTCGTGTTGTATGCACATATGTTGTGCCTAAACATTTTGCCCAATTCAGATTGTGATGTGAAGAGATTGTATAATTCTTCGGGAATGGGAGAGTATGCTAACTTTGTCTTCCCACTCATGTAGCAGAAGGAAGGGAATTCAAACTTGAATCGTTTTCCTCCGCAATGAGTACATGCAGGTTGTTCATTCAAAAAGCGATGTTCCTTAAGTAAACGCCGGTAAATATAATCGTATGGATCTTCCTCAAATGTGTCATTTCGGTTTGATGAGTTGACAATGACCTCAGTAGAGGTTTCTACATCTAGGACATTTGAATGTAAAAATATGGTTAACATTTAAGAACTAAACCTATGTAAAAATATAGTTATCATTAAAGACCTATATCTATGAATACAAGAATGTAAAAAATAAATTAAATAATAGTTTACAAAACTATAAATGTTCTGATGGAAAAAATATTGTATCATATATGAAGCGACGATAATAAAAATTGATGCTTGAATATACATAATAAAGATAGAGATTTTACCTGTAACATCCATAACTTCATTATTCTCTATGCTAGTTGTCAATGTTTCAATGCTTGTATGTGGGTTACCACTTGTTGCTGTTATGTTGTTTTCCTTACATCGTAGATAATAATTTCTATTATATGTTCTCCTTCTTTCAGCAAGGGCTACTGCACTAACTGGTGTTGTATCCGCTGCAGCTAAATTGGTAACAAGTGTTGCACTAACTGGTATGGTGTCCATTGCATTGCAATTGGTGATATGTGATTGACTATTTCTCTCAGGAAGGACAATTGCACTAACTGGTGTTGTATCCGCTGCAGCTAAATTGGTGACATGTATTGATTAAATTAACGAAATTACATAAAAAAATGAGAACTTTTAAATAGTCGATTTTGATATAAACATTGATATATATATATATATATATATATTTTTTCAAAATTTTATGTTATCTTCAAATTTATATTTTATTTAAAAATAAAATCATTATTGCTTTCTTAAAAACACATAAAATCGTATTATAACATCAACAGAGACAAATAATAATTTACAAAATTATAAATTTTCTGTTGGGAAAAAAAATTGCATCATATATGGAGCGACGATAATAAAAATTGATGCTTGAACATACATAATAAAGATAGGGATTTTACCTGTAACATCCATAACTTCATTGTTCTCTATGGTAGTTGTCAATGTTTCAATGCTTGTATGTGGGTTACCACTTGTTG